CGTTCTCTGCTCTTTGCTGATGCAGCCAAGAATGGTTGCTCTCTGCCATGTGTCACTCTGCCTCGGAGCCAGCTGAGTATGGACTGAAACCTCCAAACTAAATAAACCTTTTTTTTTTTTTTTTTTTTCATTTTGGGTGTCAGATATTTTGTCCCAGCAATGAGAGACGAATAACTGAGAAAAACCACTATTTTTTTGGGGAAAAAAAGACAAAATATGTTGAGCTCCTCTTGCTGTTTTATGTAGTTTTAAAAACCTGGCCCATCATATAGCTTATTACCCTGTGTCTGGATTTTAAATAAAAGTTCTAGACATATGCCTAAGTTCTAATAAATGCTTGTTCGACTAGAATGTGTAAAACTAGCTTTTTAAAGTAGGAAAACATCTTCGGAGACTGCCAACAACCTCTTAAAGTCTCAGTGAAATGCATTCTGGGAGGAAATACAAATCTGGTCCTACCTCCCCTAGTGGTAAGCTGGAGTCCTTGGGAAGACTACTTTACCTCTCCAGGGCTTGGTTTCCTCATTTATAAATTAGACCAAGTCTTACATCCTAAGAGCACGTTCTCTGAAGTCAGCAAGATCTGTGGTCTTCCACTTCCACCCCTGTGACCTTGTCCTTGTGGAGTCCCAGCTTCTTCATTTCTACAACACAGACATGACTCACTACACTGAGTGGCCATGGGCATATGAAGGGGATAGTACATGTGAGATGCAGGAGCACTGACTGATTCACAGCAGACACCGTGAGGGTTATCTATCCTCACTTCTAGCCCTAGGACTCTGTGGTCCCAGTGTTAGCATCCAAACTGGACTGATGTCTCTCAAACTCAAAGAATTAAATCACAAGGGAGGTAGTTAAGAAAAGTGTTTATTGGAAGTATATGAAAGCAAGCTTCCAATGGTTGGGAGGTGTCTCAAAGAGTTGCCAGAGTGGAGTCTTTGTCTAGTGTCTTTTATGTGTTGGTGGCCAGGTCCGTGGCCATAACAGGTGAAGGTGCGCTTAATGTCTAGACTGAGTATGGACCATCCATGCTCTGACATGAAGTATAGAGCATCAGAGCATGCAGGAGCCATGTGCTCACTGATCAAGCACTCTTTGGGCTGCCAGAAATCTTGCTGTGTAATTAGGAGTAAAAGGGGGGAAGGGGGATCAATTACAACAGTCACTTTCCTGTGTTTGCTCTTACATTTCTGAGCTACCTGATGGCTTGAGTTAACACTTAACCCCGTGCACGTGCTGTTTTCTTTCTAAGGCTGACAAGACTAGCTTCATCTTATGCCCTACCTATTGCTAGCTGCCTATTTATAGCTAAATAGCTAAACTACTTCTTGTGCAAAGTTATTCCACATGAGATGAAATTGACTGGCAGGCTGTAATATGGCACAAAAAGGACTCAGGATATATTCAGCCTACAAAAGAGACAAAGGAGACCTAAGAACTCTTCGTAAACTTTTTGTTTTTGTATTTTTAGGGAAGAGTCTACAGGGTGTTCAGAGTCTCACTACTAGATCAGACTAGTAGTGATTCTCCTGTTTATAGCCTTCCAAGAGCTGGGATTACAGGTGCACCTGCCCAGTCTCAATTGCCATCTCAGCACGTTCTGGGGGCAGGGCTGGCATGGTAGGCTCAGGGATTGAACCCCTGGCCCCTGCATCTGCTTGCAGGTGCTTTAATCCTCTGAGCTATTTGGCCGGCTCATAAATATTTTATAATACTGGAATATAGAAAAAAAATCTTCCCCCTATGCTCCTCCAAAGAATTTCAGCAAGCCAGGTGGGAGATGCATCATCCATTTCTAAAGATTTGAAGTCTGCAAAGTAGAACGAGCTACTACTTCACCTGATAGTGGCAGGTCCCCTATCACCAGAGTTAAACAAGTCAAATATTAAGAATTTGAGTGAAGAGATAAATTAAGATTTATCTAAGATCTCATCTTTTAAAGGTTCCTTATTAAAGAAAATTTCAGGTGTCTGTAATGAGTCTGTTAGCCTACTAGTTTTCTTCCTCTCACTGTGATAAAACAACTGAGGAAAAATCTTTAAAAAAAAAAAAAAACTAAGCTTTACTTGGGCTCTCGGTTTCAGTAGGTTCAGTCCATGGTTAGCCCGCTCCATTGTTTTTAGGCCCAAAGAGAGGCAGAAACGGCAGAATGGTTTGGCATAAAGAAGCTGTTCCCCTCATGGGAGCTAGGAATGGGGTAGGGGAACAGACAGAAACAAAGCCAAAGACCAGGAATAAGATATAGCCTCCCGCCTCCTAAATTTTCATCACATTCCAATGATGCCATCAAAGTATGGATCAATCTACTGTTTTTAGAAACTTCAAATCCAATCACCATCTGAAAGCCCACACCTGAATTGACTGCTTACTGCACTGGGGACCAAGCCTTCAGCATGAGGCTTTCTTGTAAGATTTTTCTTTTCTTTTCTTTCTTTCTTTCTTTTTTTTTTTTTTTTTTTTTTTGGTGGAAAAAGGGATTAAACTCAGACCCTTGTACTTGCCAGGGAAGCACTTATTCTACTGAACCACCTCCCTGGCCCCTCTTGTAAGATTTCATATTCCCATTGACAGTTAAGTTTAAAGAGATCAAACCAGAATTAGTATGCATATAAAATTTAAGAGTAGGAGATGGGGGGATAGCTCAGCAGCCTGGCACCTGCCTGGCAAGCATGAGGTACTGTGTTTAAGTCCTAGTTCGCTCCCCACCAAATCTGAGTACAAGGGTTGCTTTGTGTGGTGACCTATGCCTGTAATTCCAGTATTCAGGAAGCTGAGGCAGGAAGATTGACACGTTTGATGCCAGCTTGGGCCACACAGTGAATTCATGGCCACTCTGAACTGCATAATAGTGAGACCTTGTCTCAAGGGGTGGGGAACACAGGGAGATGGAGGGGAGAGGAGGAGAAGGGAGAGGAGGGAGGGGAGAAGGGGAAGAGAGAGAGAGAGAAAGAGAGAGAGAGAGAGAGATAAAATGAGAGAGAATAAGGGTCTATTAGCACTAAACATATTTGCTTTGCTTTTACAGTTTCCTCACTTGGCTGTTGGATATTAAGCAAAAGCATCCAAAAATAACAAGACTACTACAGAATTTGGACACACGACAACGTCCTTTCCCTGTCACCCACCTGTTTGTATGTGACACTCATTACAGCCAAGTCTATATACAATGGAAAAAGGTCAGATGGACTTCATATTTTTAAAAAATTACAAACTTGTTTAAGTGACAATTTAATAAAGTTTTAAATAATGTCTAGCTTTATTAAAGATAAATGCATCTTTTTTATAAAAGGTTTATTTAGCTCAGTTTGTAGAGGGTTCAGGTCATAATCAGCTGGCTCCAAGGTCAACAGTCCATGGTGGAGGAAGATAGCAAAAGCAACAGGTGGGAGAGAAAGAGGGAGCGAAGCCTCATATTGTATGACAAATCCTTTATGTTGTATGCAGGCTACCCACTCTGGGTAGGTGTAGCACTCAAACTCAATCCCAGCATCGGACTATGAATGAATCATAAACTCCAGATATGTGCTCTCATTGCATGAGGTTTTGGGGGGGACATCTAGATGCAAACCATAACATTCTTCCCCTATCCCCTAAAGACTCAAGTATATTCCTTTATGGAAAAAGCATTTAATCCATCTCCAAGAATTGCCAAAATCCTAAGGTTCAGCACTGGTGAAAAATCCAAGACCCAAGTTTCCTTGGAGATTTAAGGCAAACTCTTAGTCTTGAGCCCCTATACAAATGAACATAGAGTTAAGCTCTTTCAACATTTAATGGCACAAGATAGACACTTCCATTTTAAAAGTTACAAACAGGGGAATACAAGAAATGGGACCAAAGCAAGTCTAAAATCTACCTGGGAAAACATTAAATCTTGTAGTTTCCATATACAGCAACTGAGGAAATCTATGGCAAGATGTGAACTGTGAAGAGCTTGGGTCACTCTGCCTCTCCAGCCCTTCTGGTTACTGTAGCTCCCATGGCTTCTCTCTTGGACCTGCTCTGCTCCCCCTTGCAATTTCCACCCCGTGATCCACGTCCTGGCTTCTCCAAACTTCAGGTCTTTGCTACACTTTTGGCTTCACACTCATTGCATCATGCCCTGCCCTCCAACGCCTGGCCTCCCAGGCTTTCTTATGAAATCAAGGTGGAAGTGTTCTTGAGCCCACAACCCTTGCATTTGGCATTCTCCTACAACCAGTGCCAAGGTCTGCCAGCTGGAGCAGTACCAGCCGGCTAGCCCCTCTTGGCTGTAGGGGTCAAGAGCCTGGATCATTGGGCACTCTCCCAATTCCGAGGAACACATTCTCTACACTGCTGCCACTGTGGAACAGGGTGGGGCTGCTACTATTCTGGTTCTGGAACATGGGGCAGCCACTGCCATTCTGGAACATGGTGCTCTGGGGCTTTCTTCTCAAAATGAAGACTTACTTTTACAGTTTTGAGGCTGCAAAAAGGGTGAAGTTCTGCTGCTTCTTGTGATGCAGGTCATCTTTTCTGTTCTCCTGTTCTTTCTCAGTAATCAAGATCTCCCTAGCTCTTTTTTTTTGCAGAACTGGGGATAGAACTCAGGCCCTTGCGCTTGCCAGGGAAGCGCTTATTCCTCTGAGCCATCTCCCCGGCTTTTTTTTTTTTTTTTTTCCCTAGTTCTATCTTTGGCAGTCCACAGCTTGACTGGAGCTTCCTTTCTGACCAAACTCAAAATCTTTTGAATCATCCTGCTAGGCAATTTGTTCCTTTTTAATTTTTTTTTATTTTTGGGGGACAATTTGCTCTTGATTCTTAACATAAATCTGTCCAAAAGCCCCAGACAGTAGCCATGCCAATGCTTCAACATTAGACTGCCCTGAAATTTCTTCTGCCATATTAATTGGCTTTTGGTCCCCAAGCAGTCTCTAAACTTGAGCAAAATCCAACTTTCTGCCAAGGCATAAGACACATCATCTTGGGGCTGGGGAGATGGCTCAGTAGAATAAGCACTTTCCTGGCAAGCGCAAGGGCCTGAGTTCAATCCCCAGTTCCACAAAAAAAAAAAAAAAAAAAAAAGACACATCATCTGGAGTCTAACAGCCAGTGCAGTCCTTCTTCTCAGAAGAAACCTCCTGAGCTTGGTCTTTACTGTCTTTCTGGTCTTTTAAGCTCTGACCAGAATCTTTCATACAATATAGTCTTGTCTCAGTTACTCTTCTCTCATTGCTGGGACAAATACCCGGCATGCAAAATGAAGGAATGAAAAGTTTATCTAGCTCACAGTCTGTGGAGGTTTCAGTCCATACTCAGCTGGCTCCAAGGCAGAGTGGCACATGGAAGAGAGCAAGTATTCATGACAATGGCAGACAGCAAGAGAGCAAAAGGAGTGGCAGCAGCTCAGGCAGCTAGCTAGCCCCTCTCTCTTCCTTACACTGTAATGCCAATTACCTGCCTCAGGGTGGGTGCAGCACCCACACCCACAATAATCAACCACAAACTCCAGGAGCCACCCAATGACTGCATGAGGCCTTGGGGAGACGCTTAGACATAAACCATAGCAAGCCTAACATGTCCTTGTGCTTTTCCAGCTGGCATCTCTGAACCTTTCCAGACTTCACAAGCCACTCCCAAAGGCTCTGAACCACACAGTCAGGAACAGTTACAGCAATGACCCCACTTTTTGGTACCAAATTCTGTCTTACTTTTCTCATTGCTGAAACAAACCACTCAACACCCCAAGTTGAAGGGTGAAAGGTTTATTTAATTCACAGTTTGTAGAGGTTTTCAGTCAGCTGGCTCCAAGGCAGGGGGCACATGACAGGGCAACAGTTCACGGCAGAAGACAGCAAAGGCAATGGTGTGGAGGGAGTAGAGTTTTGGTTGCAGACACATTTGGTTCAATCCTAGTGCCAACTGTCAGATCTTTTTCATGCTTAAGAAAGTATGTTAACTCCTGCCTACAGCGACAGAACAGATAATTCAGAATTTTAAAATGCTAAGAATTCACCTCTATTCCACTTCCTATTTAGTCCAGCAGTTTTCTAAAATAGTTGGCATTTCTTGAGCATACTGAGCCCCACCGTGGGGAAAGAGCTGGGGGTCACTTGTGAGGTGGAGATGCGCAGCTTTGCAATGACTACAGCACTGATACTGACCTTGAAGAAATCATTTTAAGACTCCTTGACCTATACATTCTCATGTGTAAAAGGTGGACTTCAACTACTGAGATCCCTTCCAATTGTGATTTTATGGCCCTATGCAAAAAAAAAAAAAAAAAAAAAGCAATTTCATGGGTGATGACAGCTGGACTGTTATTTCTTTGCTTAGTGTCCTTCTGGCTGGCAATATTCAAAACTGACAGTACAGCATAAAATGATGGCTCAGGTGAAAGAGGTCACATACTGAAACCATCAGATACAGCTGTGGTTCATGGGGCTAATTGTCACCTATTTTATGAAAAACATCTCCAGCCAGAATTGTGAAGAGCGTGTGCCCTATTTTGCAGCCGTTGAGAGCCTCAGGGGACACATGTTCCAATGAGCAACAGACTGTAAGAGTTCCTGCAAGCTAATGTATGTAATTATAATAGACCCTGCTGTTCTCACAGAGCTTAGTGGTTTAGATTAGCGATAACATAAAGCATACAATCCAATTTATCCTAAGAACAACAGAGAAATTTTGTCACCTAAAACTAGTGGTGTCAAATGGTAACTGGCAGGGCAAAATGGAGCTATAAAAGTCAGAAGTTGTTCTTTCCTGAGACCTAGAGTGGAAACTACTCCCTCCCTTCCTAAACCCAGATGAAAGGACAAAAATGCACTAAGAAGTCAAGGTCAAGTTTCCTTTCTACAGGAAAGGGAGGGAGACAAAAGGGCCAGGAAGGACTGTGCAATTCTTGAGTTACCTACAGTCTTACTCTATCCCCTCTCCAGCTCATCCTTACTACAGAGGTGGCCTCTTGCACACCTGGACACGGGCAGAAGGTGATCTGTGGCAACATGAGGCTCCTCACCTCAGTCAGAGCTAGCTTTGAATAACTCTGGTCTCCTTTTCATCAAAATGGCCTCCTGTGGTTTGCTTGGGGGCTGCAAGCAATCGCACCTGAGAGCGCAGTGCCCCACCAGGCCCCTGTGCGCCGGCTGGGTTACATCCCTCTCCCCTCACTCGGTGGCACACGGATGAGATCCCCACAGGCGAGGCACAAGGAACCTGACGGCTGAATCACAGCTCACCCTTTGGGAGACCCTCGATGCCAAATGCCGAAACTTTCACAGAATTTTTGGTAAATCCATACAAAGTCAATATGTAATAAGAAACAATTTTGACTACTGAATAGTTTATAAAAATAAGAAAATACTTATATTTCATGTAACATTCGACACTAAGAAGAGGCCATGTTTAAATACATTAAATCTTCAGAGCACTTTCACTGCAGTTTTGGACCTCAGACCAAATACACTGATGAATCCGTAATTTCTTCCGTAATTTACTTTTATTTTTACAAATTAATTGTATCATGATAAAATGACAGAAGTTACTGGCGTGAAACTATTTCCTTTCACATTGTATGTATAAGATAATTAGGTGCATACCACAAGAGATGCTGTTGCTGTGCACACACAGGGAGTTCTCATGATTTTAGCATTATACAATCGGAAGCTGAGACTGCACTCGGCAGTAAGTTTAGAAAATGGCATTACAAAAGACAGGGAGTGAGCGGTAAAAAACCCCAGGGGCTGCCAGGCTGCAGGAAGGCTGCTGCGTTCACTGCCACAAGTCTTCGGTGCGGCCAAACTTAAACACCAGTCCTCTGTGGGTAAAACAAGAAACATCACATGACTCCCTAGCTTTGAGAAGAGAGTACAGGAGATTTTGAGGATGGAGGGAAATAAGCAACAAAGAGTATGATGATGAGTAGCATAAGAAACATTTGATACGGAATGATTTGATATCCAGTGGAAAATGGTTGTTCTAGAGGTGGTTCTTGTGCTGGGTACCACCATCGTTCCCGAACCTGAACTCAGGAGTACATAAGACACATGACTTTGGACAGGTTCACCAGTGTTCAGTGTGAGTCAATGACTTATCTGACTTCGTCAAATTCATTCAATGAGCCTTTTGAAGGAAGTGCAGGGGACAGAACTCAAGGCTTCATGGCTGCGAGGTAAGTGCTGGGCCACCGAACTACATCCCACATTCCCGACCCCACTGATAAACCTTGGTGTCTTCATGTGCTAGGTCACAGGGCTATAAGGATAAATACCACATGCAGTTTCCACCCTCATACTGCTCACATCTGACAGTTTTGTAAGCATTGTCATAGAGGACGTATGTACAAAATGCTGAGGGAGCACAGTGACAATTCATGCTGCCTGAAAAGTGAGACAGGAATTTACAGAGGTGGTGATATCTGAAATGCGATCTGATGGACAAACAAGAGTCTGACAGGGAGACTGTTAAAAACCTAATGAAGGATGATGTTCAGTGAGAGGAAACAACATCTCAGAAGGCAAAAAAAGAAAACCTCAAAGCGTCAGGGCTGAGGATGTAGCTCTGTGATAAAGTACCTGTCTAGCATGCCCCCAGTACAGCCAAAAAAAGAAAGAAAGAAAGAAAGAAAGAAAGAAAGAAAGAAAGAAAGAAAGAAAGAAAGAAAAAGTCTTGCTGGCTGGGGTAATGGGTACCTACCTTCAGCTGGGTAGGATTCTCTGACCCTAGTAGTTTACTGTCAACAGAACAAAATCCCATCCCTTCCTTAAAAAAAATTCTTCAGGGTCCCAGGAACAGCCCAGCTGGCTGCAAGTAAGGAATACGCCCTCCCAGAGCTGACATTTAGGGTTTCGGTGAGGGCGTGGCCATAGCTGTCCTTAGTGTTCAACTCAAGATGCAAGGAGGGTAGTAGTGTGCAGGGAAAAGATAGTGGAGGTGTGGCAGGAGAGGGCAGAGTCTCATATGCCTAAAGTGGGATGAACGAGTAGGGAGGGCAAGGAACTGAGACAGCGAGGCTGTGGAGAACCAACTCCGAGGGGGTCCCCAGGGGAGGGAAGGGCCCGGCGGCCAGCCTGCAGGTTCTCTCAGGGCTGGTCCTCGTCCTAGACAATGCAGAAAACAGGGCTATGCAGAGACATAAAGCTATTTAGAGGAAACACCTACATGACTAGTTGATTGTTAATATCTGCAGCCTACAGTTGTCAGATCTAGTTTCTCAAGAGAACTAAAATTCTGACTTTTTTTGTCCATTCGAAGGATCCAGCTAGCTAGCTAGCTAGCATCTATTTATCTGGTTCAAGGATTGAACTCAGGACTTGTGCTTGCCAGGCAGGCGCTGAAGCTGCTGAAGCTATCTCCCCAGCTTCTAAGGATTTTTAAATGTTGGTTCAATTTTTTAAAACTTTAAACAAAACAGAACTGTATGGAGAGTTTGACTGGACAGTTGTCTGTTTTAATCTCTTCTTTGGACAGCTTGGAGTTCTGAAAAACTCAACATGGGGAATGACAGGATCAGAGCTTTGTTTTAGGAGTTATACAGGTTAAGAGGGGTGAGTTAGGCAACGAAAGACAATGACCAAACACAAGCAATGGAAATGCACAAACAAGAACAGGTCTAAGACAATTAAGGCACAGACGCAACAGGACTTGGACCCGGGCTAAGTACGAGCGAGGCTGGAGCAGACATTTCAATGGCATATGCTGCCTGTGCTGTCTTCTCACGCTGCAGTTACCAGCATACGATCACAGGTATGTCCATGATGGTAATGGTGGGTTGAAAACAGTTGTGTAAGGTCTTGAACCCCCACCCGTCCCAGTACTGGAGACTGCACCCACAGCCTTCACACTGAGCTACAGTCCTGGCCTTGGCCCTTTCTGTCTTTTTTGAGACAGGGTCTTGCCAATGCCCAGTTTTTCAGGTCTTTATAAAGGTAAAAATTTGAGAGTTTTTCTATAAATAAAAGAAAAAATAGAATCAGAAAGTCATTTATACTTGTTCTTGGAAGTGCATCAATTTTTCTTTTAAAAATGTAACTGGGGGCCTGGCCGTAGCTCAGTTCTTTAAGTGGCTGCTTCCACAAAGCTGTCAGCCTCAGGTTGCTGTAGTTCGATCCCCACAACTCCAGCCAGCCAAACCTGCCCTGAAGGCATTCGGAGCAAAAAAACCAAACCAAACCAAACCAAACCAAACCAAACCAAACCAAACCAAACCAAACCAAACCACATCCTTATTGGGGCTGGGGAGATGGCTCAGTGGAATAAGCGCTTCCCTGGCAAGCGTAAGGGCCTGAGTTCAAGCCCTGGTTCTGCCAAATAAATAAATAAATAAATAAATAAATAATAGACCTCTAAAAGGAGATCTGATCTCTGCTTTTCTGCTTGTGCTATAAAAGAAGAGAAACTGAAGTTGGTTATTAAGGGCCTCTCTAGGAAGCTTAGGAGAGACACAGTAACTTCCAAATATGAACCATAACCTGAAGAATTTCTTGGGCAAGAACCAGGGTCCCCCCTACATTGTCCCTTGGTCACCTTCAGTACTGAAAGCTGTCTCTTTGAAATCCTTTTTTATTTTTATTTATTTATGTATTTGATATAGGATCTCATTACACAATTCAGATTCATAGTGATCCTGCTGTGTCAGCTTCCCCAGCACTGGGATTACAGGTGTGCGCCACCATGCCTGGTTTCAGGGAAAGCATGGCATGCAGTACTGGGAATCGAACGCAGGTCCTTGCACTTGCCAGGCAGGTGCTTAGACTGCTGAAGTATCTCTTCAGCCTTTGAAACCCTTTCTGAAATAATCTAACTTTGCTAAATTCTAAGTCAGAATGGTAGGCAATCTGCTACAACTGTTTTGGTGACAGGAGAATTTAACCTAATTTGTTTTTAAGTAGAATGATGGGAACAAATGAAAGTTAACAAACTTGTTGCACATGAAAGCAATTCACTTTAACCATTTTGGGACAATGACAAGTCCATGTCAGTTCCCTAGGCTTCCTGAAATGTGATAATGTATGAACTTCTGTTTCTTCCCTTGTTGGAAGACACATAAATTTCCCGTAAAATTTTGTCTTTCATTCCTTTGCTTCTCCTGCTGTAACACATTAGCTTTTCTGCCGAAAGCAATATCCCAAAGTGGAATTAACTTTATCCTTCATCTTGCCGGAGTAGATAAGGATTAAGATACAGAACTGACTGACTTGCAGTAAATCCTACTCCTCCTAAATCCTGGGAGCTTCTGCCTGTGACCTGTGACACGACCTCCCTCTGGTTGCCACTGAGGGTACTGAATGCCCTAGGACACCTTTGACCCCATGGAGATATTGAAGCTGAGGAAACCTGGTCCTTCTATAAAATATAAATCTCAGCATTGCAACTTCAAAGGAAAAGCCCTAAACATCAACACTCACCTTCTCTATATACCCTACAAAATCAACAGACTTACTCAAATTTTATTTGAAAGCATGTTTTCCAAATACAGGGCTACAACTGGGGTGGGGGTCGGCAGAACAACTGGCAGGAAGCCACTGCCTGAAGGCTCAGCTAAAGGAGAAAAATGTAAATGAATTCATCTCAAATTTCAGCATCCTAGTAGCCATGGCCTGCACCATGGAGTCAACCTGTGTCTAACCTTTAGGTGACCTAATTCCTCTGAGCCTGTTTATACACATAAAATGAGCATTAATGGAGTTATCTCCAGCAACGGTTAGGACGACTCATTCAGAGTGCACATGTACATAAAGCACTGAGAATGACGTTTAGCACACAGTAATTGCTCAATAAATTTTGTTTTGTTTTGAGACTGTATCTTTCTAAATTTCTAAATGGCTCAGGCTGGGCTTGCATTTGAGACCCTCTCGCCACCCGGAATGCTGATTATAGGCTAGTGTCATCATGCCTTGCTGATTACTATTATTTTATGTATAAAAGGCAACAAGGGCCAGCGAGATAGCTCAGCGGTCTAGAGCACCTGCTTAGGCAAGCTTAGGTAAGCACAGGGACCACAGTTCGATCCCTGGTACCATGTGCCACACCAGCCTGACCCAAATGACTTCTCAGGTTCCTCACCAGTCTCAGAACACAAGATATAATCTGGAAAATGGCTTTTTTTAAAAAAAAATCTGCTTTGCTTTTTGTCTCTTCTGACTGCTACCCTGTTACCTTTAATAAACTCACTACATTCTAGAAAAAAAAAATCTAACACTGGGCATGGTGCCACATGCTTATAATCCCAGCACTTGGAAGGCTGAGGCAGGAGAATTGCTCAGTTCAAGGTCTGCCTAGGCTACAAAGTGAGTTCAAGCCTAGCCTGAACTGCATAGTAAAATCTCGTTTTAAAAAGAAAAAAAAGGAACCGGGGAGATGGCTCAGTAGCATAAGTGCTTCCCCGGCAAGCACAAGGGCCTGAGTTCAATCCCCAGTTCTGCAAAAATAAATAAATAAATAAATAAATAAATAAATAAAAAAAATCCAAACAAAATTTTAAAAATCCAGAAAATGTTTTTCTTGCCACATCTTAATTTACAGTTTTTATTTCCAAACTGATTTTACAGAATGGCAAAAATCCATTGTGGTGAAGTAAAATCAAGTGTGAGTATTAACCATTATTATTACAATAGACAACTACTTGTATTTCAAGAATGACTCAAGTAGATTTGGGCCTTTCCTTTTTCCTTGGCAGATGGGAAGAGACAAGGAAGGAAAGGTTCCATAACACATAGCAATTTCCTAGTTGTTTCTGGCTTGGGGCCTTCTTTAAAACTCTGATGAAAGCCAGACTCTACCCAGGGACAAACAGGCCTGTTCTTTGCACTCTGAAACATCTGGTGACTCTCACTGTCAGAAGCCACCCACAGCAGCAGCATCGCGTGGGAACTCATGCAGGAGACGAGAAGCGGCTTGCAGTGGGTTGCAGGGGAGGCGGACATCAGGCGGAAAGACAGGCCCAAAACTTCCAGGAAGAACGAACATCAGAAAAGGTTCCTGATAACAGTACTGGGCTTTTAAGGCTATAGTAATCTTCGCATTTGCAATTGCAGTGATAAAATCTGATAAGTCTTTCCTCCAACTCAAATCTCATTCATATTCTACTGAATCAAAGGAAAGCATTAACTCTAAAGAATTTTAGGCTAGTTTTTTTTTTTTTTTTTTTTTTTCATTAAAATAACTGTTAAAGGGGTTGGGGAGATAGTTCAGCGGCAGAGGCACCTGCCCAGTAAGCACAAGGGCCTGAGCTTGATCCTTGGTATCAAATAAATAAAGAAAGAATAAAAACAAAGATAAAAATAACTGTTAGTGTTCATTTAAAATGAACACTGTCTTTGTTATGTAATGGGTACTACATGAATCATAGTTATTCATTTGAGGGGGTAGCAATTTTAAAAATTACTAAATATTCCCGAAGTTGGCAACAAACTAACCCTGTATTAAAAATATACTTAACTGTTGTCTTCATGTGTTATGAAAATACTGTGGGGGAGGGATAAATTAAGTAACTAAATATAGTAAATAACATATAAGAAACTATTATTAAAAATATGTAAGATGCCTAGGGAGATAGCTCGCTGGTCTAAGTGTCTGTCTGGCAAGCACAAGGACCCAAGCTTGATCCCCAGTACTGCATGCTCTGCTAGCCCCACAAGTGGGCTTGGTGGTGCAAGCCTGTAATCCTAGCACTGGGGAGGCTGAGATGGGAGAATCACTACGAATCTGAACTGTGTAGTGAGACCCTGTATCAAATATATATTTTGAAGAATACAAAATAAACTTACCCAAAAAATATGAAAGCATTCTGGAAAAATACAGCAATTCCAGGATACACTATGGGTTTTTCTGTGAAAACAAGAATAATATTTAGAGGTTTATGATATTTAAATATTTTATTTCATACATACTGGCAAATGTCCTTTTTTCTTTCCCAGCATAGCTGAGGTCTCTGGGAACTACGGCTGGAGTGAGTACTTACTGATGGAATGTGTGTGACAGAGCCTCGCACGGGGCTAGCGCCAGATCCTTTACTCATGTAACAAGTACTTACTAAAGGCACACTGTGTGCTCACACTGTGAGAGGGGCTCAGGATCGAGAGGTACACAGAACTGTTTTGCTTTCATGGAGCCGGACTACATGGAAAATCAACAAGGAGAGAAAATAAAGCAGGACACCTAGGAAGTGCAGCAGTGCTGAGGGTGTCTGACCCAGGGGGCCAGGAAGGCCTCACGAGCAGGCCACCCTGGAGCAGGGCAAGGAGGGAGTGAGGGCTGCGACCATGAGGAAGCAGCAGGACAGCAAGTGCAAGGGCCCTGAGGGGGACCACACATGCACGGGAGAGGGCTGGTCCCACACAGCAAAGAAGAGCAAGCAAGGACCCTGACTTCTTACACTGAGACAAGAAGCCACTAAAAGGATCTCAGCAGCACAGTGGCGTGAGCTGATGTATTTTAACAAGATCCCTCTAGTTGCTGTGCTGGCAGTAAAGGGGGCAAGGGGAGAGAAAGGGACACCCGCTAGGAGGCACTCAGCAAATCAGGCAAACAAGTCTGATGGAATCCACCATGGTGGCAGCCACAGAGAAGGTAAAAGCTGTTAGAGCCAGGATTCACAGGAGGGCAGAGTCAACAGGGTTTGCTCATGAGCTGGAGGTGGGGGAGGGAGAAAGAGAGGTGTGTCTTTGACAGGTCCTGCCCACCCAGTGTGTGGCCTACATGGCTGGAAGGACAGCACAGCCCTTGGCCCAGATGGGAGCGACACCCACAGGATCACTGTGCTCTGGTCTATCTGGAACTGAAGAGAAAACTCGCACGCACTTCTGCTGCTGCGGCTGCTGATGAGCACGCACTAGATGACAAACCGAAGCCCGGTAATGGACGGTCTGATTTTTCTCACCTTCAAATAGTTATAAATCTATTTGATTAACGTAACAGCTGGCTTATCTAGGCCTTCACTACTATCCACATTAAATAAACATTACGACTAGAATAGTTATAACAACACTGTATTAATGGAACTGTGTAAAATTATAGATCTGCTGCTAATAATTCTCAATAGGCTTTATGAAAATTACTTAAAATTCTACGATTAGACATTTCTACAAGAATAGTTTCTGTAGTAATAGATATGGTCTGGGAAAAGATTTACTTTTTACTTCCTTTATAATCTCAGTTTTCTGTAGTGTATAAGTACTATGCAAGTCATGTGTTTGCCTTTTTTGTTGTTTTTTTTAAGAAAGGGTCTGCAGTGATCCTCCTACTTTAGCCTCTCACGTGCTAGAATTAGAGACATGTGCCACCACACCCAGCTATGTATTTGTTTTAAAATTATGATGGTGATTAACATGTAGCAGCAGCAGAATGACTTATGATTCCACATTTAAAGCAAAAAGCAAGGACCACGGGGGCTGGGTGTGGCTCGCTGTGGCTTAGTGGCAGAGCCCCTGCCTAGGAAGGGCAAGGCCTCAGGTTCAATCCACTACAACACAAAACAAAAAGCAGGGACCAAAACTGTGTTTATAACAATTATATCAAAAAACCTAAGAGAAGAGACTGAAAGGAAATACATCAAAATATTTAGGAAGGGTAATGTTATCACCATTTCTTTCCCTTTAATCTATTTTCTACATTTTTGGAAACAAAGGTTTAATAATAAGTTATATAAACAAAGAAAAATACTTATATACTTTTAAAAATCCCCATTCCTGTCTCTCAAATTTAAGTACTTTTAACAAAAATGCAGCAAACCCATGATTTTAATCTGAAGGTCACATTCTCTGTGAAGTGTTAAATCGGAGCTAAATGATCTCACTGGTACATACTGGTGTAGGCTGGGCTGCAGGGCCAACACAGACGCTGCGACAGCCAGGAACTTTACAGAAGGGCGCATGGTTGGCCTGGTTTGGGTTGATAAAGGCTAACTCAAGGCTTCCTTCTGAGTTCAGCTCTCACCTGATCCACACCCTGTAAGATCCAATATTCTTTTTGGCAAATGCTGTAACTCTTCTCTCTACTACCCTGAAGTAAAATTCACAGATGATACAGCCCAGCAATGGTGAACATTGTCGAGACTGAGTGACCAAACTGCAACTTATTTATCTATTGCTTTTTTTGTTGCAAAGTGCCAAAACTGCAATTATACCTCAACACAGAGGCTTATTTTATTTTACTGTACTGTCTTTTTGAAATAGGATCTTCCTGTGCAGTTCAGGCTGACCTTGGGTTCACTTTGCAGCCAGGCTGGTCTCAAACTCAGCCTTCTGAGTGCCGGGCTCACAGGCGTGCACCCCCACACCTGGCTGAGGCTTTAGTTTAGAAGAACTTACTCACTTGGCTCCCCAACTGCCAGACACAGCTCTGCGTGCCCGCTGTGGCACATGTGCCACAAATTCACCACCACTGATCTAACTGAACTAAACGTAACTGTAATATAAAAGAGAAGGAATAAGAGCAAGTATTTTTTTTTTTTTTTAACCTAAAAAATGGTGACAGCATATTGCCAGGGAGGCTTAGTGAATGAATTTCAATTCTAGGATCTTAGAACTTTGCATGGATATTATTCTGAAAGTTAAAGCAAGCTAAATTAGAAATATATATAGCATTCAAGACTTTTTGAGCCAAAGAGAAGCAAAGTTTGGAGTTATGTACAATTTCTTCTAGGTTCTAGACTGAAAAAAAAATTAAGACAGGAATGATAAAAACACATGAAACAAAAGCAAACACTGGTGGGGGAAAGAAGTCTCCATATACATATGTACTGTTAGTAACTGGACCATCTATATTTAAAAAAGCTTATTATAAAATAACCAACTTAGTTTCGCAATAAAATTAATTTAAAAAAATAAAATAAAATAACCAACTTGGGCTAGGGAGACAGGTCAGTGGTCTAATCGCCTGCCTGGCAAGCATGAGGACCTGGGTTCTACTCCTAGTACTGCATGCCAGACTGATCCTGGAACACTGGCTGCACTGCGCTGGCCACCAAAGACCAGCATGGTGGCACATGCCCATAATCCCAGTGCCTGGGAGACTAAGACAGGAAGCTCACTATGAGTCTGAACTGCATAAAAAGACCCTGTACCAAATAAATAAAAATGTAAAAAAAATAAATAACAAATATTTTCTGGGCATGGTGGTACACGCCTGCAATCCCAGCCCTTAGGAGGCTGAGACAGAAGGACTGCTTTGAGTTCAAGGCAGCCTGAACTACGTAGTGAGATCCTGTCTCAAAAAACAGAACAGAACAATCCAATAAGATAAATTACCCAACTTTAATGCAAAACCAAAGTACTCCATGGACATAAACCACAGCTCCATAACTGGCGTTGTCTCTTACCCTTAGCAACATAACCTCCAAAGAGAATCCACATAGATGCAATCAGAGAGCCGAAGGCCAGCATAAAACCGATGAACAGCCAAATACGAGCGCCTTGAAAGAAAGAACAGTTACCAGAACTGCAGTGGCAGCGCTCAAGTCAATCAACTTTCCAGACAGAAAAACTAAGGTCTAAAATAAGAACAATAGAAGAAAATGCATTAAGGATTTTTTTCTGTTTTCTGAGACAGGTCTCACTATGTAGCCCAGGCTGGCCTCACACTCATGGCAATCCTCCTGCCTCAGCCTCCTGAGTATGGGGATCACAGGTGTGCACCACCACGCTGAGCAAAAGTCTTTGATCACTGTAGATTTTGGCCTTTTTCTTTTTCGTTTGTCTGTGTGCTTGCATACATATTTCTAAAAATATTATTTATTGGTCTGTACATTTTAAGTGCATATATGTACTTTTCCCAATTATCTACACTGAGAAAACTTTTACTAAATCTTGCCATAAGGCACTTCATAACAACCCAGGCATGGCGGCATATGCCTATAATCCCAGCACTAAGGAGTCTGAGGCAGGAAGATCACCACAAGTTTGAGCCAGCCTGAGTTATACAGTGAGACCCTCTCAAAAAAACCAACCAGGGCTGGTGAGATGGTTCAGTGGTCTAAAGCACCTACTTGGAACAAGCTTAGCAAAGCACAAGGGACCGCGGTTCAATTCCCCAGCACCACATGCCAGCCAGCCCCGCCCCCTGGTGGGCTGAGCTGGCCACACACACACACACACACACACACACACACACACAAATAAATAAATGTTTTAAAAAAAATCTTCTAAAAAAAAAACTTAAAAAAAAAAAAAAGAAAGTAAATTCATGGGGCCAGAGAGATGGCTCAGTGAAGTAAGTGCTTCCCTGGCAAGCACAAGGGCCTGAGTTCAATCCCCGGTTCCACAAAAAAAAAAAAGAGAGAGAGAGAGAGAGAAAACAAAACAATAAAGTAAATCCATTTTTCTATTTTATTTTTTCTTTAATTTTTTTATTTTCAGAGAATAAATTTAAATACACTGTAACTGCCATTTAGGAAAACTGCACTAAAATTATGTTTACAGAGGAGGACAATCAACTTTGAAAGCACCTTACACCCATGAAAATCTGCTGTAAGTAAAAAATAGCAGACTGCCTAAAAATACTATAATAGTCTAACTAGCACAAATATATTTTAATAAAACATACCACAGATTCTTTTATACCCCAAACCTAATATAATAAACTATTACTGACAGGTGCAATATCACAGTAACTACACCTTCTCTAGACCCCCAAAGCTGGGTCAGCTAACCACTTTTACTCAGAGATGTGAAGGTCACAACCTATCTTGCCTCCAGCTACCACTAACAGTATCTGTAATGCTAATGGCTAGTATTCTTCCTGTCTTTCAGAGCACACAAAGTTATGATAGAGTAGTGTTTTTCTCCTGCTTCATTAAAAAAAAAAAATTATTTTGAAATTTGCCTATATTCAAGTTTGCTTTTATATGGGTGCAATGGTTATTAACATTTAAACTTCTTAAACAGTATCTGTCCCATCAAACTGCTGGGCAAACTGGGCTCTGAGCTGTGCCACGCATGCTACAGCTGGTCCACCTCTAGTACTCACTTTTGGAGGCCAGGGTGGAGAGTCCCTAATTGGGAAAGAAAGCACTAAAACCCTGCGATTTGTGGTTTTACAAAGTGAAAAGAGTTCTGGGGACTAACTGTATGACAACGTTAATGGATTTAATATATTTCAAATATAAATGGGCTAAAAGTGAATTTTATGTTATATGCATTTTACCACATTAAAAAGTGATTCCATGATTTTTTAATTTATTTATTTATTTATTTATTTATTGAGACAGGGTCTTACTATGTAATTCAGGCTGGCCTTAAACTCACTATGTAGCCCAGGATGATCTCAAACTTGCAGTGATCCTCCTGCCTCAGCTTCCCAAGTGCTGGGATTATAGGTGTGTGCTACACCCAGCTATGGTTTTTTTGGGGGGTGGGGTGGGGAGAATCTTTTTGAGATAGGATCTCACTGTGCAATTCAGGCTGGCCTTGAGCTCACTTTGTAGCCCTGGCTGGTCTCAAACTCTCCATGATCCACTTGCCTCAGTCCCAGTGCTGGGATTATAGGTGTGTGTCATCATGCCTGGCAACAGCTATGATTTTTAACTATTTGGTTGGTCAATTCAACCAAATGGCACTCACAGAAAGGAGAAGAAAACTCATGGTATAGATTAAAACACGGTAAACAGTGCCGATCCCGCCCCAGGGGCACACTAAGGTGGCAACTGAGACTGGGCATGGTGCCCTGCGCCTGTAAACCCAGTTCTTGGGAGGCTGTAAACAGGCGGATCACTAAGATCTACTAATGAGACCCTGAACACCCTGTAGACCCTTCCCTAAAATTAAAAAAAAAAAAAAAAAAAGACAGGGTTTCGCTAGGTCGCCCAGGCCTGCCCCAGCCCCCAGTGCTGGACTGCAGGTGTGCGCGCCAAAGTCCGGCGACCCTCTGTGACTCCGACTTTCTGCCTTGGAACCCGCAGTCTCTGCTCTGGTACTTCATCTCATGCCTGATTTGAAGGAGTTAAGACAAGCGTGTTTCCAGGTGTAATTCTCATTTTAAGGACAAAAACATGGACAGTAAGATGTTGTTTGCATTTATTTACCTGTTTGACCCAGACAACCTTCACTGTAACTATCACCCCGGACTTGTCCATTTGATACTGCATTAATCCTGTATGAATAAAATAAAATGAAGCATTAGGGTCTCTAACACCAACAAGAAGCTGTCTATGACATCAAAGTGTCAGATGCAGTAAGCGAGAGTTCCCCAAATTCAAGGTTAGATGAGCTCGTCTGACCTTCAGCAAATCCCATAAGCAAGCCCTTCCTCCAGCTGTGGATGTGGCCTGTGGCATCAGCCTCTCCTGACAGCTTGTCTGGAAATGTCCTGATCTCCCTCAGACCTAGCCAACGAGAACATTGGGACTCAGAGCCAGAAGTCCCAGTTCTAAAGTCTTCCAGGGGATTCTGTTGCTCCTTAAAATTTAAGCATGAAGGGGCCAGGGAGATGGCTCAGTAGAATAAGCACTTGCCTGGCAAGCACAAGGGCCTGAGTTCAATCCCCGCTTCCGCAAAAAAAAAAAAAAAAAAAAAAAAATTTAAGCATGAAACGTTACAAACTTTTTCTTGCTAAAGTTTTCCATTTGCGCACATGGGACCTTCTCAACTCAGCCATGTAGGGCAATGGTAGGGAGGCGATGGGCCTCAGATAAACCACAATTATGTAACACTCGCTCTGCAATGGTTCTTTATAATGATTCTGTATTAATGTCCAGTTTTTGAAGCAGTAATTATATTCCAAGAAAAACCCTCTTTTTTTTTTTGCAGAACCAGGGATTGAACTGAGGCCCTTGAGCTTGCCAGGCAAGCGCTTATTCCACTGAGCCATCTCCCTGGCCCCCAAAAAACCCTCTTAACATGAGAAGATCAAAGAAAGACTCTTGGGGTAAAGCCCTGCTTTTTTAATCCTACACACATGTTGTAAATACGGTAACAGTGTTAATTATTGAAACTGTCATACCAATTTTTTTTGAAACTGTCTCTTTGCTATTTGTCTCTCAATAAAATTATAGAAAAAAATTTAAAAAAATAAATACGGTAACATTTCACTGGCTGTCAGCCTACTCCTCTAAATAGCTTTGTTTCCTTCTTTTTTATTGTGGTACTGGAGGTCGAACCCAGAATCTTCACGCAAAGCCGCACCATCGGGCCTTTTTATTTACTTTGAGAGAAGGTCTTGATAAATCACTACGTTGTCCAGGCTGAGCTAGAACTTGGGATCCTCTTGTCTCAGCCTCCTAGAGTGCTGGGAATACCAGCATGTGCTACCACACCCACCTGCCCTACTTTGTTTCTAAGTGATCTTTGAAAAATTTTAAATCCCTAGTGCTGTGAAAAAGAAAAAGAAAAATCTAATCACAGGGAGTGTTAACAATATGTCCAATTACAGTTACAAAATATTATCTAATTTTATATACACCTACTTGGTATATACATATATATCTATATGTATGTTTCATGAAGGTAGGGCCATGTCTACTTGTTTCACATTTCTATTCTCAGCACCTAGCAAAAAATTTAGCAAATAACAGGTGCTCAATAAGTGCACTGAATGCCTTCTTTTTTACAAAATTTTTATTTATGCAATCTAAGTTCTAGAATGATCAATATTGAAGAAATTAAAAATTTTAAATAAGAACCTGCCCAGAAGGCTGACCAAGACCAAGGAGATATGTCCAGCAGGCCCGATAACTGAACACTCCTTCCTCTGTATAAACCCCCATCTTTGTATAACTGATGCCTTGCAATGTAACCTCAAATCTAGCAGGACACTTCCTCCTTTGTGTAACTCATGTTTGTTTAACTGATGGCCTTGCAATGTAACTGGAGACATTTCAACTCCCTTGGCAACCCAATCCTCCAATCAAATGTGTCAAATTTGCCTCTGTACCTCCCTGTTTACCCCCCACCCCAAAGTACCATGGCCCTGCTGGGCAGGGCTCTGACTCTTTGGGAGATCTTAGTAAGGCCCACCAGTGTAAAAATAAACTGCCTCCTTAACCTTATTGGTGCTGTTTCCTACCATGTTCATTCTGCTTTCTGTAACAATTCACTCTGTTATTCTCAGGAAAACTGAATTATCATTTGATGCAGCAATTCTACTACTGGGCATATACCCGAAGGAAAGGAAACCAATACATCAAAGAGCCATCTGCGCTCGGATTCCTGTTTACTGCAGCACTGCTCACAAAAGCCTCAATACAAAAGCAACCTACAAGGAAGCATCGTACAGACACACAGCGGGAAGTTCCCTTGCTAGAGAAAGCGAAATTCTGATGTTTGTGGCAACATGGGTGGAAATAGAGGACATTATGTTAAACAAAGTAAGTCAAGCACGGAAAAAGAAAGGCTGCATGTGCTTGCTAACAAGCTCATCTCCCAGAAGTGAAAGGCAGAACAGCAGTTAGCAGAGCCCAGGAAAGGTACAGGAAAGAGAATAAAGAACATTCGTGAGTAAAAGGATGCACTTAGAAAAAAATAAGGGGGCTGTGGTGGCATTTTTGGGGTATGTGTATGGCTTTTTTGAGACAGGGTCTCACTATGTAGCCCAGGGTGGCCTTGAACTCACAGCAATCAAAGCCTCCCAAGTCCTGACATTATAGGGATCACTACTGCACCTGGCAGTAGTGGTTTTGATACGGGGGTCGCACCATGTACTCCAAGCTGGCTTTGAACTCACTATGTAGCCTTGGGTGGTCTCAAACTCCTAGTGATTCTCCTGCTTCAGCTTCCCAATTAGAAGAACTACTTCTAAGGTTCTACAGATCAGGGTAACTATGAGTGACAACAACTAATCTCATATCTCTGATAGATTCCTGCCCAAGTATGAATTGCCAAATCATTATGGTGATGGTCTAACAGCTCTGAAGCCCCAAAACAACAGCTTGTCTTCCCAATGACCACTTCCGCTTTCGTCCATGCCCCCAGCCCAGCTCTAAATAGAACTTCCTTTTATCCTTTCTTTTTTTTTTTTTTTTTTAATTTTTTTTTTAACATTTATTTATTGTGTGTGTGGGGGGCAGCTCAGCCCACCAGGGGGCGCAGCTGGCTGGCATGTGGTGCTGGGGGATCAAACCGCGGTCCCTGTGCTTTGCCAAGCTTGTTCCAAGTAGGTGCTTTAGACCACTGAGCCATCTCTCCAGCCCCCCTTTTATCCTTTCTACTGGAAAAGAACAAACTCAATCAGTTCCTTACCTGTCACTGAGCCTGCCCCTCAAACTGTGCCCCTAGCAAATGTCCTTATAACCCCAGCTCCCTTCGTCTTAGGTCCTAAGATCCCTGCCATTTCCCTGTGGTCCTCTCTGTGTCCTCAATAAAGGCTTCTCTTTTCTTCTTCTGCCTCTCTGCTGCACTGAAAAACCTAAAAATCTCAGGATAGCTAGTAGAAAGTTGAATGATCACAAAGAAATGATCTTTTAGGTGATGACTATCCCTTTTCTTTTTATTATTTTTTTGGCAGTACCAGGGATTGAACTCAGGACCTTGCACTTGCCAGGAAGGTGCTTACGCCATTGAGGTATATCCCCAGTCCACTATCCTTTTCTGATCATTATACAATATATATATGTACGGACATATGACACTGTACCTCTTAAACATGTGCAATTACTGTATGTCAGTTAAAATTTTTTAAAGACTCATAAATTTTTTGTGGTGATTAACTGATTGTCAACCTCAAGGGAACATGCAGCTGAACTGTGTCCACATGGTTCTGGGCATGGAAAACCTGATTTAAGGAGACTGTTGGAATGGTGTAAGAGGAGATCGGAGGGAAGGATGCTGTTGTCTTCAGAGGAACTGCATCTTCCCCTCAGGCACCACCTCCTGGCTTCCAGAGGATTCTTCAGCTTCCAGCAGCAGCCTTTCTGCCTGCTGGCCCACTCTTCAGCCCTTCAACCTCCCAGCACAGACTCTGCAGTCCTCCACGATGGATCCTCCCCGCTCCAGATGGGGATGTGGAGAAGACACGGCCGCAGGCTCCAGGCCTTTAGCTGGGCCCCTTTGATCTCTAACAAATGGACAGGTCTTTTGTATTCTTCTACATTTGACTCCATGGGTGGCCACTGTAGGCCAATCTCACAAATTTCAATGTCCTACATTAAATCTGATTCAGAGGCTAGGTGGGGTGGCACATGCCTGTAGTCCTAGCACTCAGGAGCCTGAGGCAGGATTGCAGTGAGTGTGAGGCTAGCGTGGGCTGCAGAGTAAGTGGAAGCCCAGTCCGGACTACTTAGTCGGGCCCTATTTTAGCAACAAAACAAAATAAAACAAAAACCCCAAATCTCATTCTGAACATGTGCAATCTTTTGAGCAGCCTTACTCCACCATGGCTAGCCCCAAGCTCTTGTAAGCATGAATATACTATTTTAATTTCATTTTCTATTATGTTATGTTATGTATGTTATGTTATGTTATGTTATGTTATGTTATGTTATGTTATGTTATTTTATTGCGGAACTGGGGATTGAACTCAGGCCCTTGTCTCTATATTGTTTTAATTTTTTTTTTTTTTAAATGTATTTAGTACAGGGTCTACAGGGTCTCACTATGTAGATCTGACTCAAAGTGACCCTCCAGTTTTCAGCCTCCCAAGAATTGGGATTATAGGCACCCTCACCACCTCACAATCTCAGCATGCCCTGAGGGAGGGGCCAGTACAGCACGCCACAGGGGACTGAACCCTGGCCAATGCACTCTGCCTAAGCAGGTGCTTTAGTCTGCTGAGCTATCTGGCCGGCCCTTCATTTTTCTCAGTATCAACTAAACTAAACTTGTAAACAAGCTTCATATACTAAAAACTGTAGATTGTTTTTGGTAACTGTCAACTCCTGCTCTTCCTTGCTGGGTGTAATTGCTGATACACTGTGTCACATTGAGAAACCTAAGTGACTCAGTAGGGAGTCTGGGTCCTCACTTTGTAAATGTCCTCAGCCCCAGGTGGGAGGAGTGAACAGTACTATGCGGCCCTAGGGCAGGCAGCCTGCCTACAATATGAGGGAGGAAAAGAGGCCTGCTCTTCCTCCTTTTTGCTTTTGTTGCTTTTGCTGTCTCCTACAGCCATGAAGGTTGCCCCTGTGCTATGCCACTCTGCCTTAAAGAGCCAGCTGATTATGGACTGAAACCTCTATAAACTGTTAACTAAATAATCCTTTTCTTCTTAATTTTGGGTGCTGGGTTTTTTATTTTTATTTTCTTGTCTTTTTGAGACAGGGTCTCATTATGCTGTTCAGACTGGCCTTGAGCTCACTTTGTAAACTGTGCTGGTCACAAGTTCACAAGGATCCTCTTGCTTCAGCCTCTGAGTGCTGAGATTACAGGCCTGTGTGCCACCATACCTGGCTCTATAGGTGTTGGGTATTTTGTCTCAACAATGAGAAAAGTAACTAAGAAACTGGGCCATCTAAATAAGCTTCATGGCCCTCTCTGGGTGCCTGATTTCCTAATTAGGTACCATTCAGAACACGCTCTATGTATTCTCTGGCGTTGTCATTTCCATATTTTCAAATTTACAGAAAAATTGTAAAGACAAAAACTTCCCTGAAATATTCAAAATCTGTGAGCACAATGCCCCATAACCTCAGACATTTGTATTTTCTGTAAAATATTTTCCTCAAGAACTGCAAACCTGAATAGAATGATTTGTTCTAATGGTGTTTGTAAATAGGATCTCAAGTCCGCATCTTGTACAGCAATTAACCACTAAGAAGAATATATGCAGTGTGTTATTTGTTGAAACTGTACTTCCGATTTGATTTGAAACTGTCTCATTGCTATCTGTTTATCAATAAAATTAAAAAAAAAAAAAGAACTGCAAACTACTCAAAATTATGATCCACTCCTATTGGACTCACCCTCAGACTCTGGGTGTCCCCACCTGTGCTCCCATGTCCTCACTACACAGGGACCCTGAGGCACTCTTTGCTCTCGTGTCCCTTTGGTCTGAACAGTTCCTCAGTCTTCTCTGACTCGTAGGACCTTGGCACCTTTGAAGCATTCCCGGGTATTCCGTAGACGTCCCTCTGATTTAGGTTTAATGTTTATGGTTAAATTCTGGTTATGCATTGTGGCAGCAATAGCACGGAAGTGACAATGTCCCAACGCATCCCACTGAGCAGCACACGTTCTAACTGTTTCCATTTTCACGGATGGTGATGCTTACTTTGACTGTTTGGGAAAGGTGGGGGCTACGAGGCTTTTCCTCTTTACTTTTCTACCCTTGCAATTAGTAATAATTAGTAATATTTGCAGAGGGTGGATACCCTATTCCTCATTAAACTTTACTTTTGTATTTATTTTATATCAGTAGATACCCACAGATTTTCTATTTTATCCAAAGGGTCAAAATATCTAATTATGGCCAAGCATGGTGGAACACACCTACAATCCCAAACACTCAGGACGCTGAGACAGGAAGATTGCTGAGTTCACTGCGAGCTTGGTCTACATACTGAATTCAAGACCAGCCTGAACTGCATACTGAGATCCTGTCTCAAAAAATACAGGAAAAAAAAAAAAATCAAATTTAACTGTGGGCATTATGACCCGTAACTATAATCCCTGCACACAGGAGGCTGAGGCAGGAGGCTTGCTGCAAGCCTGAGGCCAGCCAAAATATTACAAATACATGTAATTTTGTATATAAATATATCTACTATACAATTTTATATACATAACTAATAGTACAATATAAAATACACACACACACACACACACACACACACACCACAGTACTATATGTACTATTTTACCCATCTGGCTATAAGAGATCCTTGATACACAGCACCATTCTGTGAGCATTTCTTTGCTTTTAGGCATAAGATGGTGCCATCTCCTTATGTATGTCTTTGCACCAGTTCTGGAATTGGCCACATCTTAAAAGAGTTCTAATTTCTTTCAGGGGAGAATGCTACTTAACCATTGGCACTTAAACCAAGACTGGGGAGTGAGTGTGTTCTCTGAATTGTTCCTCTCCCTCACGGCCTGGGGACCCTACTCAGACTCCTAGACAGCTCTTAGGGTTGCCTTCTGCCCACCCCTGCTACACGGACCTCCCTCCTCACCCTGCACAGACCTGAGAGGTGTCCTGGGCTGCCCTCCTGTGGGCCCCAACTTCCTAGCCTGCTTTAGCTCTAGCAGTGTACCTGGCCTTCTGCTGAAGAAGTCTGCCGCTTCACCGGGATCAACTCTTCTGGATTCAACTGTTTGGCAAGAGAAGAGCTTACTATTACTTACAAAGAGTGTGTGTGTGTGTGTGTGTGTGTGTGTGTGTGTGTGTGTGTGAGAGAGAGAGAGAGAGAGGACAGAGAGATGGTCTAGTGGGATCATAAGTCCTTCCTTTTGAGTTTATCAGTATATCCAACACTGTCAAAATTAAAAATATAGAGCTATGCACAAATCTAAGAACAAAAGTCAGGCAAGATGAGTAATACCACAAAAATAAATCTGCTAAATCAGAACCAATGTTGAAATGTGTGTGTGTGTGTCAGCTTTTGAAGAGGATTCTAACTGCATAATTATTACAATACAGTAAACTGTAACAAAATGGCAAGAATTAGAAATATCTGCTTTCTAGCTGAACTTCAAAGAAAAAAGACCACAGCCCTTTGCTATCAGGTGGCTTCTGAGGTCACTCCTCTACTCCAAGCATAAATGGCTGCTCTGTTATCCTAATCTGTCACAGGATACTTGTTAATTTAGAAGTTATTGTGCTTACACCTGCTACACAAGTGTAGCAAGATTTTAAAATTAAAACATATTGAGCTGGTTCGGTGTAAGCCTGGAAGAAATGACCCCCAAACCATTACCTCAGCATATGATAAGCCAGCTCCCTCCTATCATATGCCACAGAGAGCTGAGGACACGGTTACATTCAGGTGGGAAGGATTGACTGGGGCCGAGCAAGATGGAGTACTGAGGTGACAGGATGTTTTAAATCTTGATCTACACAGTGTTTTATATAGGTGTACTCATAACTACTAATTTACTGATATATGTGTACACATATACACACATATACACGATTTGTACACTATGAGTACCTCATGTATACATTCATACTGAATTTTAAAATGATAGAGGAAATAAACAACTCAGGTTCTGCTTAACAATGTGAGAAAATGACTTCCCTTTCCTTTCCTGCTCAAAAGCCCAATAATGGACATAAAAGCAAAAAAATATAACATCAGAAAGGTTGATCCTCCCAACGGATGAAATTTTAAACAGAGATGGAGGCCTGAACCTAGAAGGTGTATAGAGAGGGCCACAGCACGGAGGTGTGCTTCCACCAGGAGTGGGGACAGGAATGAAGGCCTGCTGGAGGGCGGAGCGAGGAGTGGGGCTGAGAACAGAGGTGAACCCAAGGCCCACAGCTGGAAGAAGGAATTCCCACCTCACTTCTGCTACCTCTGGGGAACCTGCCAACTTTCCTTAAAGATCAGAAAATAAATATACCAGAGCTGTGGGCCACATCGCCTCTGCCAAACCACCACCAGGAAGCAGCCACAGAGCACATGCAGTGGTAGTGGCATGGGTGCCACCCCAACAGAAGAACTTCATTTATGAAACAGGCCTGGCGATATGGCCTACAGCACCTCACCTGGGTGACTATTGGCCCTCTTTAGGCAAGGGGAAAAAAGGAGTTTTCTCTTAATTAACTGAAAGAACTATCTGGAGAATGCTGTCCGGGTAAAAGTCCTCTTTATCCCATAATCGGAAGCCAGCTCCCTGCTCCAGTGCTGAGGCTCTCACCCTGGAGCACAGTTTCTATCCAACTGTTCTCTGACTCTTGCTGAAATAATAATGGGTAACCCAGGATCACCAGACAGCAGGGGAAAGGCCTGCAGCAAGTCAAAGACAGACCTGATTAAAAACAGGCCCCTAAAGGAAGCACTCATAACCAAGCAAACAGAATGGCTCTTGAAACGAGAACCCGCCTTTGGAAAGAAAAACATGAGGCTAGAAATGAAAACATTCAACAGGTTGGAAGATGAAGCTGAGGTGATCTCCTGGACTGCGGAACAAAAAGAAATAGACATGGGAGAGGAGAAATGAAAGGAAGAGCAGGAGAAGGCTGTTAGTTTTATGTTCTTCCCTACTTTTCAATTTTTAAATCACATACCATTCGATAACACTTAAGCATTTTAAATCTGCAACTATTGACAAAACAATGTTAATCTGTGACCATCCATCAGTGTAGATGGTGTCAGTAACAGTGACACTTACATTAGGAAGGCTATGGTTGCTATCACACCACAGGCATGGTACGAGTGGTTGAAATCTTCCATTTTGGGATAAATAACAGCTGCATCTATGATAATCCACCATCCTGTGAAAAACTAAAACAAACAAAAAGGGGTGATACCAATGTGACATTATAGCAATATCATCTTTTAAAGAACAGAAGATATTTAAGACAAGACATTCCTTCTAATGAATTTCAAATTTTACTTAAACATAATTACATGTAATTTATCCATGCCTAAAAAGCTGACTAAATGTTAGATACCCCAAGCCTACTTTCATTATTTTATATTGCTATAATAAATTCTGTAATCTTAATTGTGTGAACATAAAATATGAGATGGGGGGCCCAGGGTGATGGCTCAGTAGAATAAGCGCGTTCTTGGCAAGCACAAGTGTCTGAGTTCAATCCCCAGTTCTGAGCAACTCAAATTCCAACCTACTAAAGAAAAACCCTATTGATATAATAACAGTCTCTAGAATGATATTACTAAAAATTATGAGAAAATATTTAAATTAGAATGGGGAATAACTGTTGCCAGAGTTTTAGCTATCCTCTTGGTAAAATGACAACTCTACAGTTCTGCTTTTTACTTCTGATTTATTACAATGCAGTCTTTTTCTTTGTTGTTTGCTCTTTTTTTTTTTTTTTTGAGTCAGTGTTTCACTATGTAGGCTGGCCTTGAACTCATTATTTAGAGCAGGCTGGCCTCAAACTTGCAGCATTCCTCCTGCCTCAGCCTCCCAAGTACTTGAGTAACAGAATGCACAACCATGCCCATCAAGAGTGCAGTTTAGATTGCATCAAGTGTGATTATAA